CCAACTCAGAGGAACTGTATAGGACATAGAAATGCCCCATAGGGTTCCCAAGGTTGTAAATATTTATAAAGCAGATTGCCACATCGGTCTCCTGAGGAGCAGCTTGGTTACCTTTCAGTTAGTAACCAAGTGCTTTCACCACTGCACACCAGTGCTTCTTTATCATTCTCTGTCATGTCACCTCGTGTGTGCATTTGTGTGACCATAATCACAATCAAGATATAGAACTAGTTCACCACCACAAAGGTTTCCCCTGTGGTGCTCCAGGACAATGTACTGGACCACAGTCGGTTTGAATCACAAGGTCAGCTGTTCAAACTCACCAACCACTCCTTACAAACCGTAAACAGGGTCACTAGGAGTCAGAACTGACTTGATGGCACTTAACAATAACAACAACACCTTAGAAGCACACTCTACCTTCTCCCTAAGCCCTCTCTTTCTCTCTCTCACTGCCAGTGATTAGATTCTAACCCATAGCAATCCTGTATAGGATTTCTGAGGCTGTAAATCTGTCCTGGAGCAGAATGCTTCCTCTTTCTCCCTCAGAGTAGCTGATTGGTTTGAACTGCCAACCTATGGTTAGCAATTCAATGCTTATCTTACAGCATCCCCAGAGCTCCCCTAATCCCTAGCAATTACAAATCTGTCTCTATCATTCTGTCATTTTTGTAAATATTCTAAAAATGGAATCATACAGCATGTGGTCTTTTGAGACTGGCTTTTATTTTTTATTTTTTCTTCATTCATAATTGTGTGAGATCCATTTAAGTTATTATGTATGCGAGCAGTTCCTTTGTTTCTTTGTTTACCTCTTTATTGCTAAATAGTATGCCATGGTATTGTTGTACACAGTTTGTTTCATCATTCACCTATTGTACAACATTTTGGGCTTTACTTTTCAGCTATTATAAAATTTTTAAGGTTACTATGAAAAAATATATACAGGTTTCAGTGCAGAGATGAGTTTTCTGCTCAGGAGTTCAGTTGCTAGGTTGTATGGTAAGTACGTGGTAAGTATGGAGTCCTGAGGCGGTGCTGTGGACTAATAGACTGGACTGTAAAGTTGGTTTGAACAGGTACGTCGGTGGTTCAAGCTCACCAGCTGCTCCTCGGAAAACCCTATACAGGGTCGCTATGGGTCAGAACCGACTCGACGACACTTCACAACAAACAACAATAAGTGTGACTTTCAGACTATTTTCCAGAATGACTTACCATTTTACATTCCTAGAGGCTTTCTGCTCCCGTAAGATTTACAGTCTGGGAAACCCCATGCAGGGGCGCTATGAGTCACAATGGACTCCACAGCACATCACCACCACCAGCCATGTACAAGAGATCCAGTTTCACCACCTCCTCACCAACATTACAAATGTCACTGGGGTTCGATTGTTTGTTTGATCTCTTTTGTTGCTTTTCATTGTAGCCATTCAGATAGGTGTATATTAACATCTTAGGTATTCTTAAATTGGCTTTTTTTTTTTTTTTTTTTTTTTTTTGATGACGTTGAAAATCTTTTCATGTGTTTATTTGCCATTACGTATGCCTCTTTGGTGAAATTTTTCTTCATGCCTTTTGCCCATTTTGAGATTGGATTGGTTGATTTTAATGGTTAATTTTAAGAGTTCTTTATATACTCTAGAAATGAGTCCTTTGTCAAATATGTGGTTTGCATATGTTTTCTACCAGACTTTAGCGTGTCTTCCCATCCTTTTAACAGAGTCTTTCACAGAGCAAAAGGTTTACTTTAGAATGAAGTTCAACATGTCAATCAGTTTTTTTCTTTTATGGCTTGTGCTGCTGTGAATCATGTCTAAAAACTTTCCACTGAGTCCTAGGTCTCAGTGTTATTGTCTAAAATATATATGCAAGTTTTAAAGTTTTACATATAAATCTATGATCCATTTTTAGTTAATTTTGGAAAAAGTGTGAAGCTTATGACATGGGTCTTTTCTAAATTATTTTCCTATGCATTCTCATCCAATTGCCCCAGCACCATTTGTTGAAAATAGTATCCTTCTTCCATTGGATTGCTTTTGCACCTTTGTAAAACAAAAACTATCAGTTGGCTGTATATGCTGCACACCTGTTTCTCAGTTCTCTATTCTGTTGCATCTTTTTTTTCTCTTCCTCCAACAATAGAACAGTCCTTTCTTTGCTGGAAAGTAAATCTCAACCAGGTAATGAACCTCATCTTATGCTTCTTATTCAAGATTTCTTTAGTTCTCTTCCTTCTACATTCATTTTATAATAATTACAAATAAAATAATTGTCTTTTTGTGTTACACCTGTAGCACAAATGAATTCACATTTTACAATCCAGCAATCCACGAACAGGTTTATCTATTTGTTTATAACCTGTGATTGAGCTTTAAATTACAAATATGGTGGGTTAAAATAATTGGTTTTCAAACGTTGAGCCTGAATTTCATACCAGAAAGAATTTCACTAGATTGCAGTGTATAGTTTATATGTATATTGGTTGATTACAATTTCTAATATTTTGATAAAGATTCCTGTGTCTACATTTATGAGAAATGTTGAGCTGTAGTTTGGGAGGGGTTGTGATTGCTTTTATTTGTTTTGGATTTTGTATGATTTTTTTTTTCTTACTTTGTTATCAGAATAATATTGGATTCAGAATGAAGTAGGAAGTGTTCTTGCCTCTATGTTCTGGAAGAGACTTGTCAATTTGATATTCTTCAATATTTGACAGACTTCTTTAGTGATTTCTTTTCTGGGTGCTTTTAATCTACAAATTCAGTTTCCTTAGCCATGTTTTGGTAGTTTGTACTTTTCAATGATTTCATCTGATTCACCTAAGTTGTCAAATCAATATATCATGAAGATAATGGAGGTAAAATCTTCACCTTCCATGCAGGAAACCTGAGTTCCATACACCTCAAGTTCAGACACCACTCGTCTGTCAGTGAGGCCTTGTGTGTTGCTGTAATGCTGAACACGTTTCAGCTGAGCTTCCAGACTAAGAAATACAAGGAAGACTAGCCTGAAAATCTACTTCAAAAGAAAAAACTCAGTCAATGAACACCCTATACATCACAGAGGTCCAATCCCATTGTTCATGGAGTCACCAGTTTGATAGCAGCTAATGAAATCAAAAGTCATTCAGGGGAGTTCCTTATTATCTTTTTTATGTCTGTAGTGATAGCCCCAGTTTCATTCTTATTTCATTCCTCAGCCTGTTTCATTCAGGTTATTGTAGTGTTAGAAAGAAGGGTAGAAAAGTGAGAAGAGATTGTTAAGAAGGAGCAAAATAATAGAGAACTTCATGGATGACTCCAGATTTTCAGGTAAAATAATTTGTATCTAAGTATATTTGTGTCATTTAATTAAAATATATAATGCATACAAGAAATATAAGACTAAATAAAAGTATGGTTTTTTATGTACCTTAGTTGGTCAATGTATGAGATGTTCATAAGTTTACACTCTGAGAACAGAGCTCCTAATCCATAGCAACTTTCCCAAACAGTAAAATAAAGTTATTGAAGTTGGGGGCTGTTTTAAATTACTGGCCATGTAACAGTTAAATTCATCCCCTGGTAAATACTGTTATGCACACAGCCTACAATAACAGTGAACTGTGTGAGTGGACGTATGGGTAGATAAAAAAGCTGAATGGGTCTGGGGCAGAGACTAGGCATATGCCCACAATGATATAAAGGCTTCACAAAGGATATTTGTACATGGGTATTTACTCTTGCTACAATCACATCCAAGAATGTGGTGGAGCATGTTGTTGTTGTTGTTAAGTGCCGTCAGGTCAGTTCCAACTCATTGGGAGCCTGTGTAGGGTTTCCAAGGAGCAGTTAGTGAGTCTGAATTGCCAGCTCTGTGGTGGTGGATCATATAGGGGGGAAATTATGAAAATTCCTTATGTATCTTAGAAGGATAAATTGCTGGACCTGGGGACCTCAAAACCATAGTCTCAAGGTACAACATGGCTAATTGGCATAACATAGTACACAAATACAATGTTCAGCATACTACTTTGGTTAGTAGTAACTGAAATCTTCAAAGCTCATGAGCAGCCATCTACGGTGCAACTATTTGTTTCTCCCTGTATGAAGGATAGAAGAGTAAAAGAATGAAAATTGAAGGTGCTTGGGATTGATTAGTCCAATGGACTAATGGAACCTGTGACCATCAGTCACCATGACCTTGAGACTAGAAGAACTAGAAGGTAGTACCCAGCAACCACTACCAAATATTCTAATTTTTGCTTTTGTCATTGTTAAGTGCCATCAAGTCAGTTCCAACTCATAGTGACCCTATATAGGGTTTCTAAGAAGCAGCTGATGAGCTTGAACTTCTGACCTTGCAGTTCACACCAACTTTGCAGTCCAGCTCATTAACCCATAGTGCCACAACACATTAAAAGGTCCTGGAGAAAATAAAGGAACAAAACTATAAATATTTAAAAGATCAGATTTACTGTTCAGAAAGAGACTAGAGGCATCTGAGATTGTGGCCCTTGGTAACCTTTCAGATCTGGAACTGAAATCACCCACATGGCTCAATTTGCAGCCAAGTGGTAGATAGGTATATAGGGGAGCAACCACACTGGTGAGATATTCAATCCATGGGATGGTCAACCATTCAGATTAGAAGGGCAGCATCTACCTAAGGACAAATTCAAAAGAGTTGAAAGAGAAAAACAGGTGGAATGGAAAAAAGGATAATAGGGAGGAAGTAGGATACAGGAGGTTACATTGATGGGATTGCAGTCACTGAAATGAAATGAAGGATATGATTTGTTGGAATGGAAAGCTGATCTGTTCTGTAAATTTTCACTCAATTCACACAAAAAAGTTAAATAAGAAAGAAAGAAAAGAAAACATCATCATATCTTTCTATTAGACAAAATGTTATACCATTCAAATTCTGGAATTAGTTGAAGAATCACAATGATTTTAGCTTTCTCTGTTCTTCTTTATTTGGAACTTTTCAGCTGATATTATTTAACCTTGCTCACCATGGAACAAGAAAACAGCACTACAGTGACTGAATTTATTCTCCTGGGATTTGCTGGTCAACATAAATTTTGGCATATCCTCTTTGTAGTATTTCTAGTGATCTATGTGATCATCTTAATGGGTAATATTGGGATGATCCTACTGATCAAAATTAATTCTGGCCTTCATACCCCTATGTACTTCTTCCTCCAACACCTGGCTTTTGTTGATCTCTGTTATTCCTCTGCTATCACTCCCAAGATGTTGCAGAACTTCATTAGGACTGAAAAATCTATCTCATTCATAGGATGTTTGGTACAATTACTGGTCTATGGTGCTTTTGCAACTAGTGACCTCTACCTCCTGGCTGCTATGGCAGTGGACCGCTATGTGGCCATCTGTAACCCACTCCACTATCCAGTAGTCATGTCCCAGAGAGTCTGCATTCAACTATTAGCTGGTTCATACTTCATGGGTTTTCTAAATGGCTCTGTAAACACAAGTTTTACCTTCTCATTGAACTTTTGCAAATCTAATGCCATCAACCACTTCTTCTGTGATGAACCCCCAATTCTTGCCCTTGCGTGCTCCAATATTTACTTTAACATCATGCTATTATCAGTCTTTGTGGGGTTTAACTTGGTGTTTACTATATTAGTTATCATCTTTTCCTATACATACATCCTGTCTGCCATCTTGAAGATATCTTCTACAGCTGGAAGGAAAAAAGCCTTCTCCACATGTGCCTCTCACCTGACAGCTGTCACAATTTTCTATGGAGCTCTTTCTTACATGTATCTACACCACAGTACCACAGAGACTCAAGAGCAGGAAAAAGCAGCTTCTGTGTTCTATGGTATCATGGTTCCCATGATAAACCCTGTGATCTACAGCCTGAGAAACCGTGAAGTGAAAGAAGCTCTAAAAGGAATCAGAAAGAAGTTCTTCTAGTTGGAACTTCAATTTCTAGTTCTCAATACATGTAAACAAGAAGCCCTGGTGTTGCAGTGAGGTAAAGCATTGGACTGCTAACCAAATCCACCAGCCACTCCATGGGAGAAAAAATAAGGCATTCTGCTTCCGTAAAGATTTATAGCCTCAGAAACCTATGGAGCAGGTCTACTCGGTCCTACATTGTGGCTATGAGTTGGAATTGACTCAAGGGCAGTGGAACTTGTAGGGGTTTTTTATGCATGTAAACTACCAGACTGACCAATTGACAGTGCCAATTTTTAGGGAATGAAACCAGCCAACCAACACAGAAAGGTTGCTTGATCTTACAAACAGTGAAATGTAAATTAAAATAACAATGAGCTAACCACTTTAAACCTTCCAACTGCCAAAAATTGGAAATGAACGATAACTGCTAACTTGCTGAGATATAAAGAAAAGGATACTCTAAAATATTGTTGATGGGAAACTGAAGGGTTATTTTACTTCAGAAGGAATCTGGCAATATTCTCTTCTTGTTGTTGTTGTTGTTAGGTGCCATCGAGTCGGTACCGACCCATAACGACCTTATGCACAGCAGAATGAAACACTGCCCGATTCTGGGCCAACCTCACTACTGTTGCCACACTTGAGTCCATCGATGCTGCCACTTGGCCAATCCATCTCGTTGGGGGTCTTC